AGGAAAGAAAAATCTGGTTTTTAAGAATGGAAACTGAAGCACTTAAGATTTCTTGATTTACGTTAATTGTAATCTATTAAGGTTTTTTTTTTTTCCTTTTCAGGTATCTGCCATGATTATTTTTGTAATCTGGCCAGTTAATAAATGACTACTCATGGAAATGTTCTGTTGTCTTGGTGACTTTTTGCTAGCCTGACTGCTGTCCCTTAACTATTAAAGCAAATCTTGGTGTGTGATAAAAGTCATCAGCCTTTGCGTGCAAAACTAGGGTCTAGTTTGTATCTTGGTGGAAAACATTCCTTGGGTTTATTAAAGACTCTTCTGTACAAAGAATATATCTTAATTTTTCACTTTTGAATTGTGCCACTGAGTTAGCCAAGATGGGTCTGTTCTAAGAAAACCTATTTCATAGGCCTTTGCATGATTTACAAATAAAAATACTGTTGCTGAAATTCTGTCCTCTGAGGCTTTGGCTTTTTTATAAAGTACTGTGTGAACATGTTTTCCTTGCATTTCCATTTTTGGTTTTTTGTTTTGCATCTTCTGTGCTTATTTAGGTGAGATTTTAATAATTCCATTATACATTGTTATACATTATACATATGTTATAAATTGGTGCCCATAGATGCAAGTTGTTTTGGAGCACCTATAGCAGTAGTGAGCAAAACATGAAATGTTTTGTTACTTGTAAATAACATTCCTATGTATTGTATGTGTGTCTCACTTAGATGAGTGAACTGACAGTTTTCAGTGTAGAACATAACACGAAGTACATATAAAAAGTTTTTGTGGGCGCCTGGGTGGCTCAGTTGGTTAAGCGACTGCCTTCTGCTCAGGGCATGATCCTGGAGTCCCGGGATCGAGTCCCGCATCAGGCTCCCTGCTCGGCAGGCAGTCCGCTTCTCCCTCTGACCCTCTTCCCTCTCGTACTCTCATTCTCTCTCTCAAATAAATAAAAATAAAAAGTTTTTGTAGTCCCCATTGATTGTGCCAGTGGTGTGATGCAGTATGAAACAGGTACCCTGTTAATTCTTTTGACACTTGCACCAGAATCATTACAGTTAATATTTGAAAGCTGCTAGACAGATATATTGAACAATTTTTTAAAATTCTCTAGTCTTAGAAACTATCTCTCTGGGTTAGTGAGTTTATTGTCAATGAATTCTGGAAATATAGAAGGTTCTTTATGTAAAGTCAGTGTTACACACTGAGTGCCGGTGTTTTGCAAGAAATTTGGTGTTTTTAGTAAATGCCCACTATCAGTAATTAGTGGTACATTTGTTTATAGCCCACGAATGGACACATTACCCAAAGAAGCAAAGCTTTTGAAGCTGGTGAGGGATAGGAGCATCTGGGAATACTTAGGATAAAGTGTATTGGCAGTACATGTCCTCTGTGGACGTGTTTGCTTTCAGTCTGGGAAATTCAGTTCTCCATATAAATTACTTGCAGAGTGGGGCCAGGGGCCCAGAGGATGGGGAAACAAATGGGTGAGAGTTTGGGGGTAGGGAGGAGTTGCAGACATTTAATATTGCCATAGAAAAGTCTAAAGCACTTGCTTCAGAGTAAAGGAACCTAGGCAGTTTCAAAGAGTGGGAATAGAGGAAGGCATGTCAGAGTGATAATTCCCGCTGTTAGATTCTAGGGAATAAAGTAGGGTAATTGGTCTGCCTTCACAGGATTGTGAGGACTAAAAGGGTGTGAAAAGGTTTTGTGAACTGTTAGAACCTACTGAAATGCAGGTTAACACCTTGTTTAGAAAACCCACTTCCTAAAAGATGGTGTCACCTATAAGGTACTGTCCCCCTAGAAGGCTAACCAACCTTTGTAAGTCTGGGCCCCAACCAGCTGGTTCTACAAAAATTCATCTCCTATGTAAATTTACATTTGTGTCCTTCAGTGTTCCAGCACTATATAAGATCTTACACTAGCTACCCCAGTTTTCAAGTCATGAAGCTTAGTTATTGCATTCACTGATCTTTAGCAGGTGTTACCTCATATTGCTTACCTTTGGAAGTTCCTTTACCATAGGCTGGATTGAGTGCTGACTCGAGCCAAAATGGGTTGTATCCAGCCTTCACTTAATAGCTTGGGCCAATGAATCTTTATCAGCAAAATGGGGAAGATTGTTGCACCTAATCTAGGATTTTGATGAAGATGTTAGGTGTTCAGAGCAGTTCTGGCTCAAAGTACTAAGTAAATACTATTTACTACATACTGTAACTTGAGCATCTAGCAGGGTCGTACAAAGGAAAAGAGCCTATGCTTTCATGTGTCGATCTAATTGGTAAGCTAGACATAACACAAATAGTGTGAGATAAGTGCTACAGGGATGTCTAGGATGTGTCAGCTTTTTGGGGTGTCTGGGAACCACCTGTAGGGGAAGACGAACAACATTCTGCCCCCACTGCTTTCCTTTACAGATTGGTATTGAACCAGGCAAAACATTGTTTTCATACAGATGTCTCCCTTTGCTTGGGTAAAACTTTTTAAAGTCAGCTTTTTAATCCTTTCAACCTAGTATTTTATATGGAGTAGGCACTAGGTTTTTGTTTCCTATTGCTGTTTTAACAAATTACAAACGAGTGACTTAAATCACAGATTTATTGTTTTTAACAATTTCAGAGGTAAGAAGTCCAAAATTGGTTTCCCTGAGCTAAATCAGGGTGTCATCAGGCCTGCCTTCCTGCCCTCTGAAGGCTCTACAGGAGAATCCATTTTCTTTTTTTTTTTTCCAGTTTACAAACCACTTGCATTTCTTGGCTTATAGCCCCTTCTTCCATCTTTAAAGTCTAAGGATCCTTGTGATCAAATTGAGCCACCCAGATAATCCAGGATAATCTCCCCATCTCAAATTCCTTAATTTTAAGTACGTCAGCAAAATCCCTACCTAGTAGTCCCTACTGTAGGCAGCATATTCCAGGAATAATGGCAGGGAAATGTTAGGGAGGGCCATTCTTTGATCGTTAATTTATAGTTCCCAGCTATATTTGATCTTGTTTCTCAAGAATGACAACCTTCTGTTGTAGGGTCTTGGCCGTTGTGATCTTGTGTCTGAAACACAAGGCCCTCAGGTCTGTGTATTTCCCTTAATTCTGGAAAAATGTTTTCTGACACATCTCTTAATATAACACTGTATTTTTTCATAGCATCTCTTACTCCTGGAAATACTTTTTCCATTTGTTCTTGTTGCTTTTCACAGCCACTCCTCAAGGTTTTGAGAATATGTACTGAAACCGTTATGAGGTCTGAGCGTTTGCCTTCTCTGTTCTAGCACCTAGAATAACGCCTGGTGCATTGCAGTCCTTATTTTGATTGAGTGAATCAAGCCTCTTAAGAGCAATAGGAATTTAAATTTTTGATTTTCCAGTTGCTGGCACATCGTCCTTGGTGAATGGGGAGAGGATTTGGCAGCACTGTGGTGGGTTCATGGAGATTGTATGTATGTATGTATGTATACACACATTACTGTAAGAGACTCAAAGATGAGTTTTACTGTGTAGGAATCTATTATGTGAAAATAGCATGTTAGGGGAATATAGGAGATGGTTCATGCTGTGCGGATTGGGAAGTTTCAGAAAGGAGGTAGAATTTGGACAACTGGTGATAGAACGCAGGAGTCAAGAGTTGGGAGGCAGTGTCATTGGCAGTTGTGATAGCTCAGAGGAAAAGAGCAGACTCAAAAGCAGACCATTTAATAATAAACATTTGATCACACATTGACTGCTAGTGTACACTTAATCTACATAATCCTTGGTTGGTTCTCCACTTTGAGAGCAATCCCAGAACCGATTAATTGGGGGGATGGGTCCCAGGCCTTTCTCTTTAAACTCTCCATTGTCATTTTTAATGTGTAGCCTATGCTATTAGGTAAGTATACCACTATCCCCATTTTTTAGATGAGGGGTTAACTTTCCGTCCCCCAGGATCACACAAGTGGTGGGGCAAGTATTAGGTTCCAGATCTAATTTGAGTTTTCTTAACCAGAGGAGCTAGGAAATGTGAGTGTGGAGCTTGATGAAAACAGAAAAGAGCAGCTTCAGTTTTGTCGGGGATCTGAAACCATCGTTACTAGGGCTAAACTTGCATCCCTATTTGGGGTCATGAAATGGAGGCAGAGGGTTTCGAACATAATTTGGCAAAAGTATAGATGCTAAGGTCCTACCACACAAGTCAGGGTGCTAGGCTTCTTTACTGGGGAGGGGACACGCACCTAACCTTTCACCAAAGAACCCAGACAAAGGAGACCTAGAACATGGAATTCGGGCGGGCACGGTGAGGGAACTCGGGGATGACAACCTAAGATTGGGATAGGCAGGTATCGCTGGGCTGTTTGAAAGTTCCAGACTCATCAATACTCTGGAGAACCTGGTTAGTTTGAATCTTAAAAATGCAACCCAGAGAACTGAACATCAACCTTGTCTAACTACCCACCCTACAGGCGCATGGCATAACTTCCGTACCCCACTGAACTTGCGCCACGTCTGACTCCTATACACCCAGCCTCTAAAGCACCCTCCCATCCCGCGCCCCCCCCCCCCCCCCCCTCCCCCCCGCGTAGCAGTGACCCCAAAGGTGGTGGCACCTATACTAGTTGTCGAGTGAGTCCTAAGCGGCCTTCTGGCCGCCCAGGCGCCTTCCTGGCGCGGCACCCTAACCGTCGGTCCCTGCTCTGGGAAGACTGCGGCAGGTGACCGCGCGCGGAAGGCGGTCCGGAAGCTCCTGGAGCCTGGCAACGCGCGCGCGTCGGGCGGGCGGCGCTGCAGCCACCGGAGCCGCTCGCCGGGCCGGGCGGGGCTGAAAGGCGGGAGCGCCGCGCTCCCGAAAGTCGCCAGGCTGCCGGCAGCCGAGCATGTTCGCCTCGAGAGCGGCGCCCGTACGAGCGCCAGGCCGCCCTCCCTGCCCCGCCGCCGCGGCCAGCCCTGCGCCCCGGCCAGGCTGGGCCGGGGGCTCGGCTCGGCTGCGGGCCGCCCCCGGCTCCCGCGCTGTCCGCTGCCCCAGTTGACCCCGCTGCCGGAGCCTCAGACCTGGGCACCACCGCCACGGTCCAGGCACTCGAAGAAGCCCCTCTCCTCCGAGGTGGAGCTGCGGGGACAGTGAGTGCGGGTGGTCTCTGGAGGACCCCCGGCCTAGCGCGAGCGGGGTGGGGGGGTAGGATGGGGCGGGGGCCAGGGGACTTTGCAGGGGCAGGGCTGAAGGGAAGGTGGGGCCCAGAGGTCAGCTGGTCAGGCCCCCTTCCAGGCAGGGGAAACTAGCCCAGTGAGGCAAATGGGTCACTCCAAGGATTCTCTTGACGCACTTTGAGGGGAGCTGCCGGGCGGGGTCGGGTGAAGCAGAGAGATGGGAACAAACCCCGGACACGAGGACCTGCCTGCCGGATCTGTATGTTTCCGCACTCCTCAAGCTGGGTACAAGGCTAGCACGCGCATCCCTGTGTCAAATGGACACGCCCTTACAGGGTCTCCCCTAAAACCTGCCCAGGGTTTAAACTGAAGGAGGGTGTGGGCTAGGTGTTTCCCCTCTACCTTTGACTGCCACTATACCTCACTCTTGCACCCAGCCATATGGAGCAGGACTTGGGACACTGACCGTGTTAATTAGCTCTGGCTCCGTTTTCACAGCCAATTTAGCTTTGTGCTATTTCTGATTTACCTATAGTTTGTGTGTTTATTACTCTTTTCATGAGGGGTTACAAATACTAGAAAAGATTTGTGTAATACAGGTAGTCTGTTCTATTGTATGGATCATTCTACCCCTACAGCTTTTTGGGGGCCATAGACATGAAAACTGGAGCCTCTGTCTAGAGAAATGCAACTTTGCAACCATTTTCAGGGTATTGTACTCTCTGAAGCACAATAATCCCTGCTCTTCCATCTTCATTGGCTTTTGATCTACATTGCTAATGGTGAGTTTAAATCCTCTGTTACAGTGGCATTTCTTCAAAAATACTTTTGACATTTCTTTTTTTACATTTTTAAAATTACATTATAACACATTAGTAGTTCTCATTCAAACACAAGAATATAGAGTTAGAAGTGAAAGCCCTCTCTTTACCTTTTTCTCCTTTCTTTCTAACACTTCTTAGAGTTAATTTAGCGTTTATCCTACTCTTTTTTCATTTGTTGTTTTTATTATTATCATTGGAATCATATCTGGATTCTTTTGAGAAATTGTCTTTTTCACTTAAAAGGATCTGACAAATAACTTCATATCAGTTTACTTAGGTCTGCATTGATATAGTAGATGTATCATACAGATGTATGACCATATGGTATGGATGTATTGTAATTTATGTAACCATTCCTCATTAAGATTGGTTCCAGTTTTTCCTCATTGCAAACAATGCAACAATGAACATTCTTATACATGGGAACAGTTCTATAAAATGAATTCCTTGAAGCAGAATTGCGGGGTCAGGTGTGTGTATGTGAAAAATTTTTGATAGAATCTTGTGTTCTGAAAAGTCTTTATTGATTTACATTTCCATCAACAGGCTGTGTTGAGAAAAATCTGTGTTTATTATTATTTAAAGCAAAATAATAACTTCCACTCATTGAATGTTTATTACATGTCCAGCACCATGCTGAACACTTTACATGCATTTTGAAATTGAATCCTCACTAACCCTATGAGAATCAGAGGCACTGTTATTTTCTTCATGACCCTATGGTTATGCAGCTATTGAAGGGCAGAATCAAGATTAGAATCCAGGCTCATTTTACTCCGATGAATAAAATGTGTTCTTTGTTGGGTGGGAATTCCTGGTCAGTAATTGACTGGGAATTGTATTTCATTGGGTTCTTTGAGGATTAAATGAGATTGTGCTTTTGGTGTTGCTGTGTTATTAGTAGTTTCTTCCACTACCAACTTCTATAGAATTGGACACGGGCCAGTGCTCCCTGTGATTCTGGTTCCTCTGTATTCTCTGCCTCTCCAGTCACCTCTCAGCCTCTTCTTTATCTTCCTGCTTTGTGGACATTTTAAAGAAATCTGGCTTTCTTCTCCCTCTCAAGTCTTCTTTGGCAACTTTAATCTAGTCTCTGGCCTTAATTCTCACTAGTGAATAGATGACTCTTAAAATTTCTTCTCCCAACCGAAGCTACGGTCCTCAATTCCTACAGCTTAGATCCAGGTTCTATAGCTCCACCTGGGTGTCCTCCACTCATTTTATCTCAAACTGAGCTCTTTGTTTCTCTCCACCCCCAGACTAGCAATTTCCCTTTGAATGTAATTCATCATTCTCTTAGTCACCCTAGTTCACAGTTTCAGGCCTCTTTGATTCTTTTTTTCTTTGCTGAACCTCCTAAATTCAATCAACTGTTGTATTCTCACTGCTGCTACCCTAATTTAAGCACTCTGGACTATTAGAATTATAGTGGCTTCTTAACTTGGTTCCAGTCTCTGCCAGATTAATCTTCCTAAAGCATACCTGTGAATGTGCCACACCTCGGTTCAAAACCCGTGTCAGTGTCTTCCCATTGCTCAAAGAAGTAAGTGCAAACCACTTTGACTAGCATTCAGATTTGTCTGTGATCTCGCCCCAAACTGTCATTTCGTTATCTCTCACAGCGCCATTATCTGAACCCCGCTCCATTCTCCGTGTCATCTTTCACATCTATATCTTTTCCTGGAATGCCTATACCTGCATTTCTGCCTGTCTAAATTCTATTTGTCATTTTCTGGTTTCTTCCAAGTCTTTTTTGAACTTCCATGTGAAAATAACATCTGCCTTCTTTTAACTCCCCTGATGTGAGACATCTCTCTCTCCTTGGGCTGTAATGTCACACTTTGCCTTATATTACAGTTGTGTGAGCAGCTGCTCTTTTTCCTTTTGCATTGGAAATTCTGTAAAGGCAGAATCTCTGTTTAGTTCTTCATATGTGTCAGGCACATGGAATATTGATTTGCATATAGTACATGCTTAGTGAATGTATTTGAGTAAGTGAGCTAATAATCACCCTTGGAAATAAAAAATTGCATGTATTAGTCTGTTCCTAGGTGTAATGACAAATGGACCTCAACATCTTAGGGACTTAACGTGTAACAGTTTCTTTCTTGCTCACATAACAATTCCAAAGCAGATAGTCCTGGTCAGCAGGCAGCTTTCTCCCAGTTGGTTGTAGGACCAGGCTCTACCATTCATTGACACTTCCCTATTATCTAATTGTAGCAAGGAGAAGAAGATCGGAAAAAGCAGACTTGCTTCTTAAAGGCGTTACACATTACACTCACTCACGTTCCAATCACGGGGAGATAGGCACTTCTTAGGAACACTGTATTCTCTGGAGGAGCAAGAATTTTAGTAAACATTCAGCCTACTGACCGTCACAGCCAATTTCTACTTATGAAAACCCATGGGACTTGGCTTGAACATCCCTCACTGAAAAACAAAAGCAAAACTCCTACTTCCCCCATCTGGCTAGGTTAGCAAACCCTCTGTTATACACAGAATTGAAACATACCTTTATCACTAATATTTATCATAATGAACTCTAATTATTTGTTTACTTTGTTCCCCCCCAACATACTGTACACTTTTGCATCTTCATCATTTTTGTATTTCAGCTCCTAGCACAATGACCTGCATTATGGATAAATAAATAACTAGCTTTCTCAATGAATCCACAACTTGTCTTTATGTTCACTTGATAACTATTTTGCTTTAAACAAAGCTAAAAATAAAGATAATATTAGCAACTGCTCTTTGATGTTTGGGTTATTTTCAGCCTTTTTTCTTTTCTACTATAAAAAAATACAGGATTTAACATCCTTGAAGATAAATATTTGTGTGTATCAATGATTATTCATTTAGGATAAATTCCTGGAAGTGGACTTGCTGGGTCAAAAGTATATAAAATTATTAGGACATATATATTGCCAAATTGCTTTCTGGACATATGTTATTGACATATACACTGAAACCTTATGAGAGTGCCTATTTTCCTTGAACCTCATCTTACATTATCTAGTATTAAAGAAAAATCCTTGCCATTTTGATTGGCAAAATCATAGCTCATTATATTATTTTGCTTTTATTTGAGAACTAGTGAGGATGAACTTTTATTGATCATTTGTATTTTTTTCTGGAATGAATTATCTGTCCTTTAATAAATACATTTTCTATAGGGTTCATTCTCTTTTTTATTTTTAAGTATATATATAAAAGGAATTAAAAGCATCAGTTTTTTATGTCCTCATTTGAAAAGTTATGGGAACTTCTGGATTGTGTGGCAGAAGAAGCTGACACGGATGGGACTCCATTCTACTTTGGTATATTTCATATGCTGGGTAAAATATAATAAGATAATTTATGGAAATGTGGCTGAGCTAGGGACCAAGAGAAGGAAATCCCCAGGTGCCAGAAATGAAGGAACATTCACATAGGAAGCCACTGTTGAGCATCTGCCGAAAGCTGGAAGTCACAAAGGCGTACTGTTTCCAGTTACTATGACTGCATCACAAATTTCTCCAAAACTTAGTCATGGCAAACAACCATTTATTGTGCTCTGTGGGTCAGGAATTCGGACAGTGCACAGCAGGGACAGCTTGGCTCTGCTTCACGATGTCTGGGGCCTCGGATGGAAGAATCACAAGCTTGGGGCTGGAATCACCTGCAGGCTCATTCATTCCCATGTCTGGTGGTTGATGCTGGCTGTGGACTGAGACCTTAGCTGTGGATGTCAGCTGGATCCTTTGTGTGGTGGCTTCTTCCTGTCACCCGCTTCCTCACAAAATGGTGGCTGGATTTCACAGGTGAGTTTCCCAAGAGAGAGCCAGTGGTACCGCCTTTTATGCCCTAGCCTTGGAAATCACACAGTGTCACTTCTAGGGCACTTTATTTACTCAGGAAGTTAGTTTCAGGGAGAGGGAACACAGACCTCACTTCTTGAAGGAGTGTCAATAGTACATTGAAGGAAGAACTTGTATGGGAATGGATATGTATTAGTGCATCCTTCTTTGAAAAATACAACCTGCTACAGACACTGAGGTGATAATAGAAAAATACGCCCCCATTGGCCTGAGGAGACTACAAGGAAGCTTGCCATCCACTTGGGACTATGGCAGGAAAAGAGTTAGCTGTTAAATCCGGCACATA